TTGGTCAACATAAAATCACATCTCCTAGGATCGTATCTACAATCCTGGCCAAAATTGTTGGGATACGTGTCAATGGCCATACCCTCCCCAGGTCCCCCACTCCACTGTCAATGTTGTCATCTCGAGCTGAATTGCAGACTGTGCATTGAGACCCAACTTTAAGATGAAGCCGGTGGGTGGCTGGGGGGCCCGACGAGATTTGGCCAGGATTGTGGCTTCTGACAGGTAACCCGCGTACAGTTCAGTCAGTACATTGTACCATAGTTATACAGCTGAGAAGCCTTAACCATTGGTATTGCAGTTTAGGCGTCTAAGGTTCTAGTCACTGTTGGACCTACCTCCCTTTGTGACGTAGCAACCTTTAGGATCGATTGTTTTACCATCAGCGCAGTAGACATCTTTGTAGTGATACGGCCAATAGTTCATGTAGGCTTCTAGGACTCCAGCAACCATATCATGAGCTGCAAGAAAGCAAAAAACTGACACCAGAATCTTTTGACAGTCGGATGATTCTGGGGTCAGACCTACAAAGACCTTTTCTAAACCATGCAGAATTCATGCCGGTGTAACTCTTAAATTCTTTTATTCGGGGTGATGGATTTTGCTTTGCATGGCCAACCCTATAGGTGTCGGTTTGTTTAGCAAATTATGCAAATTGAAATTTTGGCAATAAAATTGCCCTATTTCAATTTTGTGTGAAAGTGTGAATTATTTGCTCGTACTTTGTTTTTTTTTTTGTTACCCTTTGTAGAAATAGGTCTTTGCTTTAATGTTCATTCTTTCGAGGTATTTTTTCTTGTCTCTAATGTTTAATCGTGTAAACAGGCATTGTAATTTTTAGAATTTGAGTAATGATGTAAACCAACTTACCTGCTACAATTTCGACGGTAATGTTGAGTACTTGTCTGACTTTTGGTGGGTTGGGAAATATGGTCAAGTTGAATGGTGGTCCTATTAATCAGAAAATCAATCAAAAGCTTACAGGTGTCACGAGATCCATAAATACATGTATATTTTGGACTGTCAAATAAAATAAATATGACTTTAACTCTTTTAGTTTCTTGCCAATGATTAGATCGATGTTTCACATGCACGGTTGTTTTGTTGGCCAAAAAACACCACTATTTACACTGTAATATTTCAACTTTTGATTCAATCGCAAATCTTTTGCCTACTGTGTTTCTGCCCAACAAAATGCCAGTAACAATGCTACATGTGTGCTTGATGTTTTGGGCATTAACCCTAACCATTCTGAATCCAACGAGCATATGCATGATTTCAATGGTCCCTAGGGAGTTAGGGTTAATAGTTGCTTAGACTCAAACCATTCCCGGTAACTTGCATTGTTGGTACTTACTACTAAATTTACCAAGGAGGTTTAGGTCATTAGACACGAAATAGAAAACCCGAAAACAATTTCAAAAAGTATCTCTGTCACAGAACACTTATTGTCTGATGTACATCTTAGTCTTGTAAAAACGGATGACTATTTTGGAAGTGTTTTGCTACAAATATAAAGCGACGTGTCAGGTATTTGAACTTTAACCCTTTGATGACCAAAATGGGGTTTTACACTTCATGTTTCTCTTCTCGTTGATAACTTCATTTCTCTTCATACTATATAGTGTGCCGCGATCCTTTTCTCCCGCTGATCAACCTTTCTTTCTTTTCTTTTTTTTTACATTTGAAAGTAATTTTTGCCCCAGATTTTGTAGAGTTCACTAAGGGTCTTTCGCTCTTAACTTCACCTGATCGCATGGTGACTTCCCTTCGATGGTTAACAGAGGTGGCTTGTACATCTTTAGATCCTCTCATACATGTCAGAGACTGGACATAATCTGATCTGCCAGCAATGAGCAATTCTGATAGTTTTCCTATTTCCGTGCCGCTTGTTGATTGATTAGAATGTGTTCTTTATTGTTAAACTTACCGCAGTTCTCATAGGCAATCTTTGGCATCACTTGTGTCTTTTCTTGCTGGTGGGATAGTGTAACCATTGCAGTCACTAACATCAACATTTGCAGTGTTGTCGCCATGCTTCTTGTCGATCTGCTGACTGTATTCAGTCTGAGACGATTTCTTCCAGTATGTATCGCTTCCCTTGTGTTGTTGTCAGTGACCTACATGAAAATAAGAGTACTTTTACTTCCTGATACTGCGAATGAATAGTACATGTACGTAACTACATGTAATAAGGGGATTTCCATGTACACTGGTGGCTATACTTCCGTATAATATGCTTTGATCCAAAGTTTCTACATGG